CATGTTTTTATTCTTACAAAAAGGATCGATGGGAGGGAGCTCACGCAGTGTAACTTGGTTAAGAACAGCTCTGAGTTCTGATGATCTTAGGGGTATCTCTTTTAGTTTCTCTGTGGAACAGACTGCTGAATAACCTCCAGGGACAGGGTCAGGTCTATGTGGCTCAGTCTCTGCATTTAATAAAGGTCTGCCACAAAGTAAATGCACAATAAGTAATTGTTTATTGAATTTGTGGTACTCAAATATAAGAACATTGTAAAGGCCACCCTAGAACAATATTAACACCCCTTTAATATAACCTTCTATTTCTGAATGAGAATTTGACTTCAAAGACCCTAATATTCTCTTTATATGGATGTTGCATTTTTCACTATTGGTGTAAACTTTGCTAGAAGCCTATTTATAGGGATATGAATTTTCAGTGTTTGTTTTTTGGAGAACAATGTGGATAACCCAGTGCTATTTTCACCCCAACATTTAGACAGTGATGATATTTGAACTTTGTGTTAATAAATCAGAATTATACCAACAATGATGGATTCTAATCGATGAATTTTCATCAAGAGCAACTTTTGAGAATGAATTCAAGCCAATTTAATGTCTTGTTCAATTTTCTATATAGTGCAATTAAGCCACTTACTATTTTTTCTAATTCTATTTTATTTAATTAAAATTATTTTCTTCATAATAATTCTTCATGCATAAAATTTATAATGATGATTTGCTTCATCAATCATCTATAAAAATTCTTGCAATAATGCTTCTGCCAGTCTGAATTTTCTTTTATGGCAGTCATTCCTACCAGGACCAATTTTCCTGGATCAGATTCTTCAGATCAAAATTTGAGCAAGAAAATTAGATTCATCTGTCAATTTTTAGTTGATAAGACGTTTTTACACAATGCAGTTTCAGCCACTGTCAGTTTGACTTTGCAATGATTATTTCTACTAAGTCTAATTTTCCTGGGTCAATTTTTGCAGTTTTGGAACTTATTAACATGATGGGATTTTTCAGTCAATTTTTCTATTAATTTTGCTGTGTGCAGTGTTAGCCCTTTTCAGTTTAACTTTGTTGATTTTTTAAAAGTATTTACTTATTTCTTGTAACAAAAATTCTTAGTATGTCAAAAGCTTTGCGTAGTAAAGCCAAATGATGGGGATAAAATGCTAGCATGCTATTTCACCTAGAAGTACTCCTTGATTTCTGATGGAGGGATGAAGAGAGCCCTCTTTACCCAAGGTTCATGGTAATTATTACTTTGTGAATTTATATTTTCATTTTCCCTGGAGACAGAACTGGGAACAATAGGACTAAGGAGGCAATATTATTTCAAGATAAGAAAAAATGTCTATCAACTAAATTGGTGCAACTTAAAATGGTGCTGCTTAGTTGCCCCCTAGTACTCAACCAAAATTGGGTAACAATCTGTCAGAGATTCCATTGGCATTTTTAATTATTTTTAAAAGCCCACATCAAACAATATTTTGTTGCCCTGGCCGGCTGGTATTGCTCAGTGATTAAAGGGTTGGCCCCCACACTGAAATATCCTGGGTTTGATTCCTGGTCAAGAGTATGTACCTAGGTTGCAGATTAGATCCCCAGTGCTGTTTGGGGTGCATGCTAGAGACAACCAACCAATGTATCTCTCTCACAAAGATCTCTCTCTCTCATTTCCTCCCTCCATTCTGCTCTCTCTAAAAATCAGTGGGATAAATATCTTCAGGTGAGGATTAACAAACAAACAATATTTTGTTTATAAATTTATATTGCATATAATTTCAAAGTATGGTTTCAGGGAATATTTGCATTTTATCTCATGTTTTAGTCTTTACCTTTCTAAATTATAGAAAACTAATTATTTTAATCTATCTTACTTTTAGGTCTTTCATGATAGGTTCTTGTTTTCTCTCCTGACGCACTTTGTCTTGCCCCATCCCAGACTCTTAGGTCCTGTTCTTGGGTTGTGAGCATGCTGCACTCTGTCCCCCTCTTCCCCTGCCTTCCCCAGGCTCCTCTGGCCTTGGCCTTCAGAATTCTGCTCACTCCTCAGTAGCTCTGAGAAGCTGGTGCATGCTGGCCCCTCTGAAGGTAAGGTAGGTACTTCTTCATTATCATTCAGAAGTTTAGCAACAAGTGGCATTGGGTCATCTATATGACTGATTGATTTTCAAAAGGTTTATTATTGATGTTGTGTAATAGACCAGTATAGCAGACTCTGTTAAAATTACACAAATAATTTTGTGAGGCTTAAATGAGGCATAGTATACAATCCTTCTTCAAGAGCTTCCATGCTTTTTGAGGAATCAAAATATATCTTTGTAAACATCTAGAAAAATTACAGGACACTAATTAGCCAAGTACTTCCACAAGAATCCTATATAATAAAAGCCTAATATGCTAAGTGTCTGGTCTACCAGTTGGCCATTCAACCAATCAAAGCATAATATGCCAATGATATGCTAAGGCTGCTCAACTGCTTGCTATGACGTGCACTGACCACCAGGGAACTCCCACCGGTAGGTTAGCTTGCTGCTGGGGTCAGGTGATTGGGACTGAGTAAGACGGGCTTGACACACCCTAGAGCCCTCCCACAGTCCCTCCCCAGCTGGCCAACATTCCACTTCCCTCCCCAGCCCCAATTGTGCCCTGGTCGGGTCCCTAGGCCTGGCTTGCACCCTCTCGCAATCTGGGACCCCTCAGGGGATGTCAGGGAGCTGGTTGTGGCCCGATCCCGCAGGCCAGGCCAAGGGACTAAACTAGTGCACGAATTTGTGCACTTGCAATAGAAGTTTAGGAAATAAAGATCCATGTTGGCTAGTGTTCTCAAAGAAGATTTAATGGAAGAGGTAAATTATTAATTAATAAGAAAGCTTTGATATTTGTCTTTTATTTATCACAAAGGGAATTATTATTCAGGGAATCCTGCTAGTGTTTTGATTTAAAATTTGTCCATGAGTTGTAATAGCATGAGATGTTAAGTTTTCAGCTGGCCTTTGGGTTGTGTGGCAATCACACACACACACACTCATTTTACAGAAAAATATTAGAAAATCTAGTTTGTAAGGAAGGAAATTGGGAAACTGTTGCCAAAACTTTGGTCCAGAGAGATGGTGGTTGAATCCTGAATTTCCTGGAAGGGATCAAAGAACAATAGTGAAGAAAAATCCCAGGCAGGATGGGACTCATTTATTCCTGTCACAAATATTTACTGGGCATCTCTAATGTGTCATATGCTATCCTATTAACTGGAGAGGTAGAAATGGACTACACAGATGCAGTTGGGGCTTTTCATTCCAAAGGAGAGAAACATACACATTTCTTCCCTGCTCCCATCACCTATTAATAATAATTATTCTGCCTTCAACTCTACCTTGTATGTAAAACATTATTTTATCATGAAAGAGCAAGTGAAGTAGTCCAGGAGGAGGGTAGTGGCCCTAATAATCTCTGCATGAGCGACACATGATGCTCTCCAGCTCCCATGAGCCATAGTCCTGGACTATGTCTTCTCCACATTTGCCCTGGGGCTGGGCTATCCCCCTCCAAGGCTTGCAATCAACAATCTCTAATAATAAAAGTGTAATATGCTAATTAGACCAGACAGGCAAATGACCTTCCAGCCATTATTCTGGACGTCCTTCTGGATGAAGCCGCGATGGCCCGTGCCAAGGCAGAGGTGTTTAGGGGCATCAGGCAGGCAGGCAGAGTGGTGTGGGGTGATCAGGAAGGCAGAGGCAGTTAGGGGCAATCAGGCAGGCAGGTGAGCAGTTAGGGATGATCAGGCAGGCAGGTGAGGGGTGGGGGTGATCAGGCAGGCAGGCCAGTGGCTAGGAGCCAGTGGTCCCAGATTGTGAGAGCGATGTCCGACTGCTGGTTTAGGCCTGCAGGATTGGGCCTAAACTGGCAGTCAGACATCCCCCAAGGGGTCCTGGATGGTGAGAGGGTGCAGGACAGGCTGTGGGACCCCTCCATCCCCCTCCCCTGTGCACAAATTTTGTGCACCAGGCCTCTAGTCTTTTAATAATGCTCCGTCATCTGAACCTGGGATTGCTCACTTTACAAAATGATCTGAAAACCCATAAGCGGGGTCATTCTCACTGTATATGTATATATTTTCCCTTGAAGGTAGTAACATATGGAGCAATAATTATAGCAAGATTTTCTTCTAACATTACTGTATGTAATATTTTTTCCAACATGGAATATCATTTTTAAAATTATTGGCCCAAATTCAGTTTTGTTCTTTCAGATAACTACTAGGTGTACCAGTTAATAATGTGGATTTTTTTTCAATATATGGAGTTACACATATGTTGATATATATGCGATTTGATATGTATGCTATTTTGTTGTATTGACAACAAGCTTCAAAAC